TATCCTATAATCTGGAAATATATCCTTCTTGACCAAGAGGGTGTAAATTTATATATACATATATATAACCATATATGATTTGCATATATGTATACATGTATGTATTTTTGAGTGTTTTTATTGAATGAAATTTACTTAGAAAGATGTGAAAGAAGAATAGAAAGGGATATGTATTCAAAAGAGAGTATGTGTTTCTCTAGATTAGAAAAATCAGAAAAAAAAAATCAAGCAAAGAGACAGAGACAAGCAAGTAAGGGACATTTTCAAGGGAAAACCAGAGTTTGAAGAGCAAGCCTTGTATCTTAAAGATAGAGATCAAATAGCAGCCTGTATTCACAAGGAATTCCTGGAATAGAGTGCTACCACCATTCTTTAACCTCTTAACACCACTATTTTGTGGGTGGTTGTCACTGTGTAATCCAATTTAACAAACATAAAAAAAGAATTGTGTTCCAAATTTTGGAAGTGATTTTAAAAGAAATGAAAGTTATTCAACTATATTTGAAAAACTAATGACTCCTGGGACCAGGACTATAGTAGAGAGGATCAGGTGCCTGCCTGCCTTGCACACAGCTACCCAGGTGCTATTCCCAGCATCCCAGACGGTCTCTCAAGAACCACCAGGAGTTAATTACTGAGTAAAGTCAGAAATAAGCTCTGGGCATTGATGGGTGAGGCCACAAAACAAAACAAAAAAAGAAAACTAATTCCTGAGTGTTGATCAAGGATAAACAGAAGACTAGTAAAATGGCATAAGAGAAAGAACCAGAAGAAATTGAAGTATTAGCTTACATTAAGGACAAAAGATAGTAAACTATAAAATATGATTTTGTCAAGAACAGAGATAATGAAGAAAGTAGGTGAAAAATATCCAAAGGGATACACAAATAACATTAAGGTTTTACTAAAGAACTACAGTGAATAAACTGACCTTTGTCCCTGTAAGATGCAACTGCAATTGCTAATCCCTGCAGGTTGCTACTTTGATATACTGAAACAAAGAAATAGGTATGTAGCTCCACTATCAAAAACCAAACGTCACTGGATTACTGTTATCCAGTTGTTCATGGATTGCTCCAGCAGCGAGTGGCAGTAAATCTAAAATCTCAAGGCTGGGATGAATGGAGACCTTACTGAAAGCTGCTTAAAGACCACTGTCACTGTCCACTGTCCTCCCGCTGTTCATCGATTTTGCTCGAACGGGCCCAGTAACATCTCCATTTTTTTTTCCCTGAGACTTGTTGTTACTGTGTTTGGCATATTGTATACGTCACGGGTAACTTGCCAGGCTTTGTCATGTGGGCGAGATACTCTCAGTAGCTTGCCGTGCTCTCCCAGAGGGGCAGAGGAATCGAACCTGGCTTGGTCGGGCTGGCTGCTCACAAGGCAAACGCCCTACCGCTGTGCTATCGCTTCAACCCAAAAAGAGCAAACATAATTAAAGAAATTTGACTTTGAGTAAGCCTGATTAGCAACCAATTTGCTCCAACTGCACAACTTTGACTACACAAAATAGTCAAAGATTCTGATACAGAAATGGGAAAATCGAATTTTACCACTTGGTAGGACTGTGAAACACTACTAAAGGAGACCCTGGTATCTGTTAAGTCCTTTTATATTTTGTAAAACTAGTTTTTAGGATAATTTGAATCATTGTGTAACCAAGTTAAAGAACAGGCATACATAAATCAATAAACTGCATTGGTCTGAAGAGATAGTATAGCAGATAGGGTTACCTGCCTTGCACACAGTCCATCCAGTTTGATTCTCAGCACTCTATTTGGTCCCCTGAGTATTGCAAGGAGTGATCCCTGAGTATAGAGCCTGTACTAAGCCCTGAACACAGCCAAGTATGCCCCCCTCTCAAAAAAAAAAAAAGAACCTGAATAAACTGTACTATGATTTGTTACATTTCACCAAAAAAAAAAAAAAAACCTGAACAAACTGTACTATGATTTGCTACACTTCACCAAAAAAAAAAAAGTGACAATGGACCAAAAATTCTTTGCAAATAAAACTATCAATTCTAAGGCTGGGCTACAGCTTTGTGCCTATGGCGAAGGGCTGGCTGGATTGTATTTCTTCAGCAATTATAAGAGGGAGAAAGCCACAAAGTCAGCTCTATTGCTCTGTTAAGAACTCAGCTACCTACCCTCCTCCATGAAGTGTAACTATTTCCTTCACCAACAATTCTAAGCATTTACCAAATCTAATATAAAATCTGATTCAAAATAAGGTTAGAAAACTACCAATTGGGGTTTCTTGGCAAACTGAAGCAAGCTCTTTTTTTTAAATCTGAATGAAACATGAAAGGCTGAAATGAACACAAAAGAAAGTTGCAAAACAGTAGCGCTGTCAACCTCAAGATTTCAAACTATCAAACATGAAACAATATTCCAAAAAATAGCTCCCTCTTCAGGGAGGTTTCAGGATGAACATGATCAAGGAGAGTAAGGCAAGTAGCAAAGGTATATACTAAAACACCTCATTTTATGTATTGCTAAAAGTGGAGGAACGCTGATAAGAATTAGACATAGATGGGTCACTGATACTGCAGACTATGTCAAAGATTCATGAGTTCTATTTTATGATCTTGGCTCAGCAACAAGGTCATTCATCTGTCAAGACTACTGAACTATATCAGAGCCTACTACAATTTGAAAGAGGACAGAATTGAGTTTAAGATTATCACATTTGGGGCCTGAGCCGGTAGGGCAGGGCACTTGCCTTGCATGTCTCCCACCTGGGCTGGATCCCCAACATCTCACATAGTCCCAGGAGCCCCCCAAAAGTGATTCCTGAATGCAGAGCCTCGAGAAAGCCCTGAGCACTGCCATGTGTGCCCCCCAAATAAAACAACAAAAAAGGATCACTTTTATAAATGTTTACATGCATAGTATTAAATGAGGAAAACCAACTTATCTTACACTTTCTTGACTGCCTACAGTGTCATGCCTTTTATACTTCCAAAGGCTAGAAATGACTGAGTGTCACAATTAAGAATATATCCAACAAACAACCCTCTATTTGACTTAGACATTGATATTAAGCAAAGATAGAGAAGGGAGCCAGACTCCATACACACTCACCCAGTTAATGACACTCTTAAAACCCCTCTTCACTCATCCCCTTAATATCCTCACAGCACAGATGTACTGCTGGTGAGAGAGAACATGAACAGGACTGGAGCTATACAGGGGTAGCTGAGAGACATCTGCCTGTTGGCAAAGCAGAACAAAATTTGCTACCGTTGCAGTGGTGAAAAGATGGTACCAAAAAAAGAAAAAAATCAAGCTCAACTAAACAATGATGAGGAGCAGTTGGAATTTATGAATTTAAACAACATCTCATATTCTCTGCTTTCTGATAAGCATAATGAACATTCTAAGGAAGCAATGGAGAATGTTTGTCTCACAAAGCCAGGCTCTACTCCCTACTCTTGGCTTTATTTGATCACATATCAAAACCTGGAAGTAACAGGAGAAGTCACATTAACATCGTTATCTTGCAGCATCCAGAATCTTCCTTTAAGATCTACTAATTTATTTGACACTCACCCAATTTAACAAGTAATCTTTGCTACTTTCATCCCAGGTGGAGGAAGAATACAAATCCCACCAGGCCAGAAGGTAAAGAAGTAACTCGAGTACCAACCATGTCGCTAACCTGCGTGCAGGTGGACCCCGCGCAAGCCACGTACCCTCCAGTAAGTGAAGTTCAGGCTGGGTGATATCTACCTATCTCTTCCGGTCTAACAACCTGTGACTCTATAGCGAAAGTGAAGTGGGAATTCAACAGTCAATAGGAATTCTACAAAATGATGCGGTAGCGGGGGGAAAAAAGAAAGAAAAGAAATCGACAAACTTCAGGGTCAAAGTCATAACTCAAACCGATTCGGGGCAACTCTGAAGACTGCACGCTGAATCCCACTAATTCTAAAAATTCCCACGTAAGAAAAAAAAAGTTTCTTTAAGGGTGAAAATGTGAAAACTAACACTTTCTGTGTCTCGGGAGAGACTGCTAGCCACCGGAGGAACAGCGAATCGTCAATTTCACGGAGCCACCCCCCTCCCACTCCCACCCCTTCCCGGGGCTGCTTATAAGTTGCACACTCCTCCAAGTGCCCCAGACTCATCCCAGGCCCAACTTTTCCCTGGACCTCACCGACGTCTCCCAAACTCAGGTTTCGGGGCATTGGCGGAAAAAGGGAAACAGCTGCGGAGTTACTAGCTGTGGAATTACTGGCTGGGGTGAAGAACTTGACAAGAGGATGGTGGCCGAGACTGCCACGCGGCCTCGCTAGCCACTTCTCCTTCTCCATCCCGGCTCGGGAGCCCGAGGGCGGCGGCTGCTCCAACCCGGGATCGCGGCCGCGGAAGTCACCTGTGAAGGAGTCGGGGTAGATGGACTCCAGAGCCTCTAGCTCGTTGCGCTGCTCCTCGACGTAATCTGTCATCCTGGCCCTGGCTGCTGCCCATGGATCGCCCAGACACGCAGGCGGCGCGCTTGCAGCTGGGGCCGGGGGCCGCGCCGCGAGAGCTGGCGGCGGCCGGCCGGGCGCAGGCGCACAGTCCCGGGCGGGCGAAAAGGCCCGGGGCCCAAAGCCTGGCCGGGCCTGCTGAGCAACAGCCCCGCGCCGGCCTCCGCCGGCTCCCTCGTTCTGTGTTCGGCTTCTTAGGTCTGGCTCCGGAGTCACCGTTGCGCTTGCCTGTACCACTCCCGCGTGGGATTCGCCGGCGTGGTGGCAACCCACCGTCCGGCATTCGCTGCAGACACCTACGCCGGGGTTGCCGACGTTGTGGGACCTGAAGCTAAGAGAAGCCCCTGCAGCACAACATCGTCGCTCGACTTGTGTGGGCTGAAGGCCCGCCTCGCCGGTCCGAGTGGGACCGCGGCACCGGCAGCTGGATGCTGTAGAGGCTCGAGCGAATTTCGTGGATTCTGGCTTCCGCTTTGTGTCTCTTTGGCTCCCGGGAGGTGCCGCGAAGTTGGTCTGAGGGTCAGGTGGTGGTGGTGGTGGTGGTGGTGGTGGTAGTGGCTGGCTGGCCGGTGGTTACTAACCGTTCCCGAAACTCGCAGCTTGGGGTCCACGGGAGTTGAGCGAGAGACCAGTGACCGGTGGGCGCGGAAAATTGTGCATCGGGTGGGCCCAAAACGATGGGTCCAGTGGCTTAATAGCCAATCAGAATTATAGCCAATCAGAAATCCTGGATTGTCAAAGTTCTGGATTCTAGTTTGAGATCTTTAGACTTCCCTCTTTTGAATTTGTAAAGTCTAGGCAACTGGGACAGAGAGATCTAAAGATATCTGTGAATGGGCAAAGTGGGTGGAGAGTTTGGTGGGAAATTTAATGAAGTGTAAAAGCTTTGATTTAAGAGAATAAAATTGAAAAAAAAAAGAATATATTGTCGCCTCCATGTTCGTCGCAACTTGGTTGCAAAGAGTTCAAGGGACTATAATAGCAAAAGATAAGTTCTGGCCAAATAGATGTACTTTTATAGGAAAATTACTAGCTACTAAGATTATGTTTTGTAAAGTAACATGGTTATGTTAGATAAAGAAAAAATAAAAAGCTGATTTTTTTTCTTTGAATTAATCCTTTGTTTTCTGGTTTAAAAATAGTTTCACTTGTGTGGTTGGGAAAAGCTTTATAGTAAGAAGCTCACCAATGATGAAAGCTCTTAGATGTTCTCCTATTAAAATGAAGATGCCCAATGGAACATAAGTTATTTTGACCTCATATTGGAAAACAGTGCTAAGTTATAGCATAATGTAACATTAAAATGAACATGTTCACTATTTATATGCTTTGGTACTGAGCATGTTTTTTAAGTCCTAAGGGTTGATACGAGGAAACAAACGTTTAGGTTGAAAAAGTGGCAATTCACCCGACAGTAGTGATTTAACTTAAAATGAATGAAGTGGGGCTGAAGCCATAGTACAGAGGGTAGGGCCCTTTTCATCCTCGCAGCTGACTGGGATAGATCCCTAGCTACCGAACTTCTGATGGTCCTCCAAGCCACTAGAATTGATCCCTGCGTGCAGAGCCAGGAACAAGCCTTGAGCTCCTCCACATGTGGTCCCTGCAAACAGTAACAAATGTGTGATGATGATTTCAGAAATAACGTGCCCATTTTTCTGTGCATTCTCAGTTCAGAAGGATCAATAATTTGTTACCCAGAAGAGAGGTTCTCTGCAGAAGGGACAGTCAAAGCAAAGGTCTTGAGGTGACCAACAACCTGATTTCTCGAAGCCATAGTGATCCATGGCACAGTGAAGTGGTGTATCAGGAGTGGGGGTGGAGCTTAGTTTACATATCATGGTTTACTGTTATTCTAGGAAGACCACACTAGCTACTGAGTTTAAATGTATTTTATAGGTACAAAGTATGGCAACCAGATAGGAGATTTAAAAATAAAAAGACAAAGTCAACTTAGACCAGATCTGGATATAATTTAATGGTAGAACTAATTAGATTTGATGTGGAGTGCTGAAGGAGTGCCAAGCCCTAAAGTGTAGCCCACAGGCTGCGTTTGTATCCTTTGAGATACAAATTCTGAGCTCTTTGGAAAAGAAAAATTTGAGTCACCACCCAGACGCTGAAATCCAGGGACCCACCCAAAGAAGGGTGGGCTCAGAAAAGGAAAAGTTACAGAGGAATAGATGAGATTATGAGACCGTATACAGTGCAAGGTTTTCCTTTAAGACAATACCTAGATTAATTTTTATATATGCAAAACTGCAGAAAAACTCATTTGGAAGACTATAAGTCATTTAGTTCTATCCAACTACAAAAGAAAAATGTTATTTGTGGTTTTGACTGAAACATTGTACATATAAAATATATGTATACAAAATACACAAGTACTTGTTTTCTGATACATTGTTTTAAAATGAATGTAGAATATATTTGCAATATATTCTATTCCAATGTATTTTCCAGAAGCAAGATTTCTTCCTTGTCAGGCTATATAGAATCATAGAATGCAAGTGATAAAAATTGTGAAAGGGTCATAATTTTACAATGTATCACTCTTGAATGGCTTGTGGGTTCATAAGTTTGGCAAGTGTATTGGTTTCCTCTTGCCACTGTGACGAACTTATTGACTTAAAGCAATATAAATGCACTATTTTATAGTTCTGTAACCTTATGAATAGGTTTCCAGCTATTCTGACAAAGGTCAGAGAGGGTGGGTCAAAGGAAAGGTACCTTGCAAACTATGTTCCTTCTGGGGGTCTTGTGGAGAATCCGTTTCTTACCCTGCCTTCCTGGACTAGAGCCTCCCTTCATCTTCAAAGCCACAACTGTGCATTTCTCATGCATCACTCACTCAACAGTTGTCTTCTCTGATCATTTTACCTCAATGACTCTGATTCCTTACCAGGGTAGTTTCTCCATTTCCAGGTACTTGGCTTTTCCATATCTGCTTTGGCTCTTGTGCCATATAAACTATGATTGCATCCACAAATTTCAGAGATTAGTACACAAAAATCTTTGAGAACACCATTATTTAGACTACCTTACTACGGAAATTTTGAAGAATGTGAGCCTGTATTTGTATATATGGACAGTTTTTTCTGGCTATTTTAGAGAGACTGACTTACATGACCTACATGAGTAATGAGAGACTTTACATGCTCCTCATTTTGATCCTTTCTCTTGGACCTATTCAGAGCAAACTTGCAGACTATATAGTGTGTTGTACACTCCCTTCATACTAATGAGAATCCTTACAATAACTGGGCAATCTAGGTATCTAAATAGCTAGATAGTCTATGGGTAGCTCAGGTCCAAAGTTATGCCCTGAGGAAAGTGGGCAAATCACTTTGCTAACAAATTTTTATGTGCAGGTTCAGTGGAAGTGAAAAGTGAAGTACACAGCCCTTTGTTGTTGGAACACAAATGTTTTAATTCTCTTTGACAGGAGTGCAACAGTCCTCACACATTGTTTAAAGTATGACTTTAAACAAGATTTCTTCATATTTTGTTGGTTTTATTAGTTTTTTGGGGGGAGGGAAGGATGGGTTATACCCGGAATCACTCAGAATTACTTCTGGCTCCGAAATAATAATATGAATGGGAAAGTCATTCATTTCTGTATGACTTTAAATAAAATTTCTTCATATGTTCGGGGCTTTTTTTTTTTAACTTGTCAGGGGTGAGTCACAGGGCGATGTTTGGCCAGACATGAAGGTGCTCAGAAATTACAGCTTTGCACTCAGGGATCACTCCTGGCAGAACTTGGAAAACCATCTGGGGTGCTGGAAATTGAGTCCGGATTGTTAAACACCTTAACCGCTGTGCTATCTCTTTGGTTCAACATTTTGTTTTTAAATTTCATTTTAACAAATTATTTACAATACATGACTTTATTTACTTACTTGTTGCAAGGCATAATTAGAATAATTGGTTTCAAGTAACTGGCTTAGAGTAAGCATTACATATTTTTACCACGGGACTCCACGCCAGGCTATTTTCACTCAGGGCACCCCAGAGGGGGGGACGAGCGAGAGCTCTTCCCGCCCCAAGGGACCAAGCCCCAGCAGCCGACCTCCACTACCCAACCAGGGATGAACATATTCCTGGACACATCATAAGACAGTCCGTACCCATTTTTCATAAGTACCACAATATGTTTGATGGAGTTCAGACAGTGGGCAACAAATCATAGAAATATATATATATATATATATATATATATATATATATATATATATACTGTCACACCTCTTGGAGAGCCCGGCAAGCTACCGAGAGTATCCCGCCCACACAGGTAGAGCCTGGCAAGCTCCCGTGGCATATTCGATATGCCAAAACCAGTAAACAATAACAGGTCTCATTACCTGATCCTGAAAGAGCCTCCAATCGTTGGGAAAGATGAGTACAGGGAGGCTGCTAAAATCTTAAGGGCTGGGACAAATAGAGATGTTACTGGCGCCCGCTTGAGTAAATCAGGAACAATTGGTGGGCTGGAGCACAGCGGTAGGGCATTTGTTTGCCTTGCACGCTGCCAACCCAGGTTTCATTCCTCTGCCCCTCTCGGAGAGCCCAGCAAGCTACTGAGAGTATCTCGTCCACATGTATTTAATATGCCAAACACAGTAACAACAAGTCTCAAAATGGAGACGTTACTGGGCCCGCTAGAGCAAATTGATGAACAACGGGAGGACAGTGTTTGTGTTGTTCATTTGTGTTGTTGGATGGAAGAGACACTGTGATACAGTGATTTTTACCACTACGGATCATCATCTCTGTACCACTAGGGGGCAGCAGAGAAAGCCATATTGAAGTTCTGGTATACAGAGATTAGAGAAGTTATTGGTGGTTAGTAGAGAAAAATAATTTCGCTTGACGGTCATAGAAATACCAAAAGACTTAGTTCCAATTCCAATTCCTAAACAACGTGTACACTCACACCCCAGCATCACAGTAACCCTGGCTCTTTTCCATCTTCTGCTGTTGTCTGCAGGTTTTCTGCATCTCATTTTGGAGCTCATGATTCTGTCCTCAGCAGCTGTTACTCTGGTGGTAAGGCCTTCCAGTGAATTTTTTATTTCATCTACTAATCTTATCAGTTCTGTCATTTCTGTTCATACTGTCCTCATTTCTGTTCTCATAACCTCATGCTTTATTGGCAGTCTGTTCCATTGTTTTTTGAGCTTATATATCATCAACATTTCCCCTCTAGAGCACTTATCAAAGAGGTTTTGTAGCTCCTTGTTACTGGTTGAATATTCTGGGCTACCATCTTCATTTATTAAGCCTAGTAGGGTTCTGTGTGACTTTCCTGTTGTGACTTTTTTTTTTAATTTTTATTAGTGAGACACCATGAGGTACAGTTGTAGACTTACAAATTTTGTGCTTGGGTTTCAGTTATACAATGATCAAGTACTCATCCCTCCACCAGTGCCCATTTTTCACCACCACTGATCCCAGTATCCCTCCCACACCCCAACCCCCCATCCCACCCTGCCTCTGTGGCAGGGCATTCCCCTGTTCTCTCTCTCCTTTTGGGTGTTGTGGTTTGCAAAAGAGGCATTGAGTGGCAATCATGTTTGGTCTATAGTCTACTTTCAGCATGCTTCTCCCATCCTGGGAGGATCCTCCCAACATCCTTTATTTAGTACTCCCTTCTCTATCTCAGCTGCCTTTCCCCTAGCATGTGTGGCTGGCCTCCAAGCCATGGAGCAAAATTTTGATACTAATCTCAACCATTCTTGGGTGGTAGCCTCCTATTTTGTTACTTTATGTTCCCCAGATGAATGCACTCTTTCTATGTCTATCCCTCTCTTTCTGAGTCATTTCGCTTAACATGATACTTTCCATGTAGTACCACTTGTATATAAATTTTATGACTTCATCTTTTCTAACAGCTACATGTACTCCATTGTATAAATGTACCAAAGTTTTTTTAACCAGTCATCTGTTCTTGGGCCCTCAGGTTTTTTCCAGATTCTGGCTATTGTAAAGAGTGCTGCAATGAACAAACAAGTGCAGATGTCACTTCAACCATACTTTTTTGCTTCTCTGGGATATATTCCCAGGAGTGGTATTGCTGGGTCAAATGGGAGCTCAATTTCTAATTTTTGAGTATCTTCCATACTATTTTCCAAAATGGCTGAACCAGTTGGCATTCTCACCAGCAGTGAAGGAGGGTCCCTTTCTCGCCACATCCGCGCCAGCACCTGTTGCTTTTGTTCTTGTGGATGTGGGCCAGTCTCTGTGGTGTGAAATGATATCTCATTGTGGTTTTGATCTTCATCTCCCTGATAATTAATGATGTGGAGCATTTTCTCATGTGACTTTTAGCCATTCAGATTTCTTCTTTGAGAAAGTTTCTGTTCATTTCATCACCCCATTTTTTGATGGAGTTAGATGTTTTCTTCTTGTGGAGTTCATCCTGTTGTGACTTTTGCAGTACGGAGGTGAAGTTTCTTGTGTGTTCTTGTGTAGCTAGGTGACTGTGATTACCATGTCATTGTATGTTCACAGTGAGATATATGGACGTGAAGAAATGCACAGCTGCATAGCAGTAAGTATTTTGTGTGTGTGGAGGGGGGAAATCCTAACCCCGGGGACAAAATTATGAAAGCAACAAGCAGTGCCCTAATCCATGGCTACGAATCTACAGAGATTATTTATATCAGAGCCAAAATAGGACCCTCGTTTCTTTTCACAGTTTTCCTTTTATTTATTTATTTCCCCACTTTATTTAAACACCATGGTTTACAAAGTTGCTCATGATGATTTGTTACATTCAATATTCCAACACAATCCCACCACCACTGTCACCTTCCCTCCACCATTATCTCCATTTTCTCAACCACCCTTTGAGCCTGACCCAGTAGCAGGCCCCACAATAATTTATATTGCTTGTTATGATTAGATGGTTAATGTAATAATCAAAAAGTATTTCCGTAGAAGAAAATTTGTGAAAATTGTTGTATCTCACCATGAGGGCATTAAATTCTTGTCTGAGGGTTTTCTAAGATGTTGTTGCAAGTTAATCTTCCTCTTTTGAAAAAATATTCCTTTTGTAATATATGTCAGTACTTAGGTGGTAAAGTTGTAAAGCTTTCCTTGGCCACTTGAAAAAGTATATTGACATTCTTTTAAACGGGAGAAATACCAGGGCTGAAGATATTGTACAGGTGTTTACCTTACATGCGGCCAACCTGGTTTGATTCCCCTGCACTGCATATGGTTCCCCTTGCATCCCTAGGAATGACCCAGGAGTAAGCCCTAATAATAGCCAGGTGTACCCAAAAACAAAAACAGTAGAATACCAGAAAAGTTTCAGAATCAAACTATGTGATTCTGTGTGTGTGGTACCAGGGATTGAACTCAGGACCTCACACATAGTAGGCAAGCCCTCTATCACTGAGCCACATCCCTGGCCTTCAGTCATATTCTCTTATTAGAATCAACCTGGGACTACCACCTTTCCAAAACACATTGACCTACATATATATGAAAACAAAACTCTAATAAGATTTAGAAGGGACCTCAGACATTTATTTGATTCAGTACCTTGCCTCCTAGTGAGCAAGGTATCATCACTATTTTATAGAGGAAATAACAGTGCTACAGAGCTACCCAATAAATAATTCAAAGGAAGAAAGATCTCTTAGCAAATTAATACAGTTTGTGTTCTCTCTTTTTTTTTTGAAGTATATTTCATGAGGCCAGAACAATAGTACAGTCAGCAGGGCATTTGCCCTGCACACGACAGACCCAGGTTTGATCCTAGCATCCCATAAAGTCCCCTGCGCACCACCAGGAGTAATTCCTGAGTACAGAGCCAAAAATAACACCTGAGCATCTGCAGGTTGTGCTCCCTCACCAAAAAAAGTAGATTTCAAAATTTTTTCTTTTCTATTTGTTTCTGTTAATTTTAAGAAACCAATAATTTCACACAAAAGAAATTAACATTATACAAAATCAGATAAGCATGTAACTGATTTCATTTTATATAGTCAGTAAAGTTCTCTGACTCCTTGAAATTGATTTTTTGAGTGAATTTAACTATGAACCATTGTCCTGTAAACAGATTATTTTTTGCTAAAAAAAGAAAGCCCTAATCTTGCTTCTTTTCAATGCACCAATTGCTTAAAGGAACACATTAAAAATCAGGCACTAGACCCTATATAAAAAATCATGCAGGAAAATGTCAGTTGTTTAGTTTTTTTGAAGTTCTAGATAAAGGTTGCAGTCTTGCTTCCCCAAATAGATTTTGAGTAGAAAGACGCCATTTGGTAATAAAAGACACAGCATGTCACTGAAGTAGAGTGTAGAAAAGCGACTTTGTGGAATAAACTCCTTATGTTGTAGCTACAAAAATAATCCTAGTATGGAGGTGCTACAAATAAAATGTATTATATTAATGATATAATCTTCCCTCATCTTATCTTGGGTATGACAAGATGATGCAAGAACATGTATGGAATTTCTCTTTACATGCTGCCAGTTTAGTTTTTTGTCCTTATTCCTGAAAGGTCAGATATCTAGAAATAAAGCAAGAAGTAAAAAGCTTTTGGTTATTATTTAGGGGGTGACTGGAAAAGTAGGCTATCCCTATAGTAGACATGGTAGGCAAAAAGAAACGCAGAGAGTAACATTTAACAACTTCTAATGATACTGATGGCTACTTTGCTTATATTATCACATTTAACCCTCAGCAGCCCTTTCAAGTAGCTCTTACTCGCAGATACTAAAATAGCATTCAAAAATAGTAATTTTCACATGGCTAATAAATAACAGAACCAAATTCAGATTTCTATGTGATTTCAAATACCATATTGTTTAAAATAGACACTAATAGAGCATCAGTGAAAATTTTAAGGAGAGAGAAATTGACATAATTACCAAATTGATTTTGAAACTAGAACTTTTGAATGAATTTATATATACAAGTAACTAAAGAGAAAAATATTAACATTTAAATTCCATCATAAAATAATGTTAGGCAACTAGAATTGTGAGCAGTACTATAATCAAGTGTTATTACATTCCTTTTAGTTCAATGCCTTCTGATTTGTCTTCTTCATTCTCTTCATCCACCCTGTCTCTTAAGAAGCTATAATGACCTTGAAAATCCTCACCCATGCATAGAAGACTGGGTGCTGACATATCTTTCCAGTCCTGGCAAGAAGGAATACGGATGTGTTTGACTTCTTTATCTCCAGGAACAAAACCAAATAGTTTCTTTATACGCTGTCTGATGAGGAAGCGTGAGTGCTGCTCTGCAGCCTCTTGAAAGAGCTCCTGTTCGTTTTGGAGGTGGTTGTTCCAGTAGTAATACTGCAGGGAGGTGAAGGGAGTACAGCACCTCGCCACACAGCGGGAGATAAGGATAGCAACAGTTGCCAACGTGATCAAAATCCAGCCCAGCATCTTCACATAATTTTTCAAAAGAGAAACAGAGAATGTCAATGCATTGAATAGTCAAGATACAATTATGGTATTAGAGGTTCTTACATAACTGAAAACTAATAATTAGGCAAAATAATTTCGTTTCTAGTCTAACATATTTACAAGGTGCTGGTGAGCATATATGGGTGTAGGTGTGATGAAGGGTGTAGATCCAACCATTTAAACGTGGGTTCGGGGTTACAAAGAATTTTGAATGTTTGGTTAACTTGGACTGAATTCTTAGTGCTGTGCTGGGAGTCACAGTTGTGATCACCTATCAATTACTCTTGCATAAGGTATACACATTATCTTCTTAACTTTTAATTCAACCTTACTTTCCAACACTCGGATATAGGTTCATGAATTCTTTTAGCACTTAATAATTATTTGATAATGATGGTGAAGCAAATTATATGATAAATAATAATAGTGGGCTCCTAAGGTACCTCAATGATGTGCCAACAAGTATTTATTGACATATTTTCCTGAATTGCTCCCTGCTTTATTTGTGACCTCAGAAGGAAGTCGGTGATCACACTTTCACATAACTAAGCAAATTGTACCTTATTGCTCTCCTTTTCATCTCCCTTCCCCTTCAGTCATTTGCTGATGAGTTTGCTAGTTTGCTTTGAAATGTATTTTGAATGGGAAATGAGCTAGACTTTCTTTTATTTGTAACTATTCAGTTTCCAATTTAAAAACCTGAATCTTTTTTTTTTTAACTATTTGGCAGATTGCATAGAGAGACAGGTTCTACGCATTTAGCAAAGCCAGTAGTGTGCAGCCACAGTCTGGGAGGTGAAGGTCTTTTGTACCGTTTATGATTCACTACAGATCAGCCATTACCCATGTGTGCAAAGCAGGAATATTGCACTCTATGGGAAGAAAAGCCTACGGAGTGATTCATCACAGTTTAGCATGGTAAAGACCAGCACATAGAATTAACACCATCTCAGATACTCATTAATTTGTCAGCTATCATTTCTGAAGCCCCAGATTGACCTCCAATCATATGTTGTATGTAGTGCATTCCTATGAAGATTCAGGTATGAAGAGTTTTTGATATATTTCACAGCTGTCAAAGTATCCTGGTAAAATGGAAATAGCATGATCTTTCAATATCTTGTGACCAAAGAACTCCACTATACAGAGTCTCTAAGATTCTTTTGCTCATCTATAGAGTAGAATAAAAATTATATACCTCTTAAATTATGTGTTAGAGTCTATATGAAATGTTTATATAGTTATGATAAGTATCTCAATAAAACTCAGTTTTTCAAATCACTACACCAAAAAATCCATTGATTAATGTCACTTAACTGAAAACCTGTCTAAAGTTTCAAGCATTTACTGAAATCTGTGAGTATATTTAATAAATCATTTTATTTTGACATTACAAAAATTTTATCATTGATTATAACATCTTGATATATACTAAGGAAGAACTTTTCTCAAAAGCAAAATTGTCGTTCACTTTATTTTCTTTACTTTTCACCTATCTTCACAGAAGTCATCTGTCTGAACTTTAGGACTAGTGCATAAAAACATTGAGACAACCTCAATGGAATGTTTAACTTTGAAAAACTTCAATATTCTGTGATTTTGTGCTAAGCTTTTCAACTAAATGAATTACTAACTTCTAAATTTTAGTAACTTAAAACCTCCATGTAAACAAAGAAATGTATGCCTTTCCAATAAGTGCCTTACCTGCTGTACTATAGCTGCAGCCCAAATAACAAGCTTTTACTGTATCAAGTGACTTGAAAATGTGTTTTTCTCCAAAGTCCCTTGGAGAAACAGATGAAGGCTGATGCTTTTCTATGGACAAAAATTAACTTTTATAACTTTAAAATTTGACCTGCAAAATCAATTGGTTCAGCCCTCTTTCCTTCTTATCCACCAAGGTATCTCACAAAAACTGGTTTATAAACAATAAGTTTAGAACCATAATTGAAGCTTATTATTAATTGTAACTAAGCTTCTAACATTCATTGGGATATTATTAAAGAATACTTGTTTAAGAATACATGCTTAAAATATACATTTAAAAATATAATAAAAATAACCATAATACTTTTACATTTTTTTACTTTGCTTTTTGGATCACACCTGGTGATGCTCAGGTGTTACTCCTAGCTCAGCACTTAGGAGTCACTCCTGGGGGTGCTCAGGAGACCATATGGAATGACAGTGATTGAACCCTGCTCAGCCATGTGCAAAGCAAACGCTCTGCCCTCTATGTGTACTACTTCAGCCCCCACAATACTTTTAATTCATTCCTTTAAATACAGATTCTGAGAACAGTACTGAACACTTTATTTGTTTATTTATTGAGAGTTTATAGCAAACATTTACTTAACAAACTAAACAAAGGGTTGGAAAGATAATACAGGAATAAGGTGCTTGCCTTCCATGCACCACATATGGTCAGTTATGATCTCTAAGCAAAGAGGTAGCAGTAAACCATGAGTACAGCCAGATGTGTCTTAAACTTCCCCACATACCTCCAAAATAGAAGCAAAAGAAGCAATGGTGAGGTGAAACATGTGGGTAAGAAGGAAAGAACAGACATCCCAGCAGGAAAAGAAAACTCTTCCAAAGGAAAACTCTTCAGATGTTTTAGGTCAGTTTTTTTTTTAACCAAAACTGCACAGTAGATAGTTACTATTTTAATTTTGCAGTTGAGGAAAGTAATGCTCATATAAATGACATGATTTACTCAAAATTTTCCAGGTTAATAAATGGCAAAGCAAGATTCAAACCCAGGTCTAAGTATTCCAATACCCAATTCCCTCACTACATACTCAGTAGGAATCACTTTAATGAATGATACCTAGTTTGTACTCTATAACGAGAATATATGATAAATGGAAGAATGTAAAATATTTCCAAGTAATGTGGCTAACACAGGACAGCATAAGAGGAAAAAAAATAAGAACTTACCTGTGATTGGTATCTGTGCATAAGGGCTATGTTATCTCTTACCAGGATCATATCTTCAGACTCAGTTGATGTGAAACATGGAAACTCAGCCAGGATTTCTTCCCGTTTGTCAGCACTGACATTGTCAAACACTGGGTATTGGTCCACAGATGTGAATTCACTTGCAGCACATTCATAGTAATTACCTGTTAGCAAGTTTGATGCCAGCCATGTCAATGGAGCAACAAGTGCCCTCCCAGTGATGCCAAAGAATCGAAGGCAAGCCAGCTTGCGCTCCAGGGGGTTGACTTTCTGATGTCGAGAGGCACATTTGCAGCAGTATTCATTAGTGATTGTCCATGTTTGACTTCTCAGAGCATATCCAACAAGCAGAAGGATCAGGGTTGGAATGACTAAAAAAGCAGAACCATAATAGAAGTTTTTCCCAACCTGACAGGGACATCCAAATGTATAAGAGGAGAACAACTGTTGTCCAGCAATAGTCAAAGCAGCAATTAAAGAATTAATACATGTTCCATTTCTCTGCAGAGAAGATATAATACTATTGAGAGTTGGATTCATCCTGGGGAGCTCTTCCACAAATCAGCTTGAACTCTTTCTGATCATTGGACTCCACTGGGTATAATCATTTTATGGGATCTTACTGGTTTAACTGGTTGTGTCAGGTGACCCAACATCCTTGCATGTTTAAAGGATTCTTGCATCTTTCCCTGTGAACTTTATGAACCTTGAACTAATAAATGCACTTAAGATTACAGCTGTAAACAGATGAAGAGATTCACATGTCGTGATATAAAAGGAGAGAGTGTGATTCTTCAGTATACCTTTCCTCTGAAAAGACGATTATTTACAGTGAGGAAAATTGCTGCCACCTTGATATATGCTTCTTTGTGTGGCACAAAATGCTCTAAAGTACCAAAACAGATTTAAAAAATTAGGATTTGTACTAGATCAATGTTTTGTTATTACAAGCTTATAATATAAAAAATAAGTAGGAAAACATAGATGATGGTGATCCAAAATTTAGAGCTGCCTGAAACATCCATAACTTGAGTTCTCTCCGAAGATTTTAGAAACTTCCCCCCAAAGGGAAAAATAAGTCATGGCTATTCCCAAAGCCAAATAACAACAAAACAATTCTAACTTTGCACAAAATATGTTTCCACTAGTACCATATAATGATGTATTTATATAAAAATTCATCACATGATGTATTTTATTATACACTATCAAGGTTTTATAATTAGAACAAATAAAATAAAACGAGGGGACAGAGAGATAGCCCATCGGGAAGGGTATTTGTCTTGCATGCAGCTGACATGGGTTTGATGCCCAGCATCTGACATGGTCCTCAGAGTCAGCCAGGAGTGATCCCTGATCCTGAGTGCAGAGCCAGGAGTAAACCCTTAGCTATGCCAATCAAGGTCTACCCCTCACAGCCCCCCCCCAAAAAAAGAAAAAGAAAGTGAGAAAATTAAGTATTTTCTATAGGTAATTAGAAATTTTTTATTATGTAGCTTCTGTTAAAAATCAATGAATTAGATTGTTCTCAAGTGAAAAAAAATATACATTTCTCAAATTCACATAATTAAATCATAAAATTGATAAATAATGTGAAGGAATTTAATCCAAATGAGGTTAAAAAAGATAAATCAAAAATATATTTTTTAAATCTGTTAAAGAAAATAAATAACAGATGGAGGAACTCCATGATCTGTGTAATGGCAGTTCCAGAATAAATGATGAAAGAATATGCAGAAGGCTACTGAAGGTAAATACCTAAGAGTTTTGTAGAACTGAAGAACTATGCTACACCAGAAGTGTCAAATGATCTTAGCAACAAAAATAACCATAGAATCACATATAGATGCGCCATAGTGAACTATAGAATGTAAAAAAATTGACTTTTTTAAAAACTAACAAAAAGAAAAGACACCCTACCTATAATATAATGACAATAAACTGACAAGCAGCTTGCCACCAGTAACAATAGAAACTACAAGAGAGTATTTTCAGAGGTGTAAACCAGCTAATTTTCAAGACAGAACAAAAATAGACAGACTCACACTCAGAGAGACAATACAGAAGGTAAAGCTCTTGCTGTTAACACAAATAGCCTGTTTTTGCTCCAACTCACACATAAGTATCACTAGGTGTAGATGTCCATGAGTGGCCCATGAGTGCCAGTGTCCTATGGTGGCACCACAGGGCCTGAGCTGTGCTGAACTCTCCAGTCCTTCCTGAGCACTGATTGGGAAAATTTCCGCCTCCCACCACTTCCCCCGCCCCCCAAAAAAGAAAAACAAAGACACTAAAGTTACAGGGAATGAAACTCTCCAAAGCTAATTAATAGGATTATTAAGTAAGTAAAGGCCCTCCCGTTGATCATCGATTTGCTCAAGTGGGCCCAGTAACGTCTCCATTGGAGACTTTGTTGTTACTGTGTTTGACATATCGAATACATCACGGGTAGCTTGCCAGGCTCTGCCGTGCGGGCGAGAGGGGCAGAGGAATCGAACTCGGGTCGACCATGTTGGCTGCGTGCAAGGCAAACGCCCTACCGCTGTGCTATCGCTTCAGCCCAAGAGGATTATTAAAAAAAAGATATTTCAACAAGATAAAAAAATTCTGAGGAAAGACACAGGAGGAAAAATTAATGATTGCAAACATGTTTAGAGTTTTTATTATCTATAGAAATAATGACTTCTATTTCAAAAGCTGGGACTAAGGCAATATGTCATTAAATAAGTTTGCCTCTGGTTGCATTAATAATTGAAATATATAAAGCAAATTATAAGGACATACCACATATTTTTTCTAAATTGTAGTTGAATGTATTACAACACTATGGTTATAATAGTATTATCGTTTATGCTTTTGGTGTACTAAGAAAATGCCAAAGATGAGGACGTCACTGTCGTGATTTCACTTCCAGAGTTCCCTTTCCCCACAACTACCATACAGCTCCCTCCTCCTTCTTGCTAAGTTCACTTCCATAATGGATATTTTAAACATATCTTTATTAGAGGTGATCAAGTAAACATTAAAAAGGTGGGCCAGAGAGATGGTGCAGAGATTAAGGCACATGTCTTGCATTCAGGGGTTCCTAGTTGAATCCCAAGCAGTTACACCCACACCCTACAGCTGCCACCATGCTAATGGCCTGAATTCACTGCTACATGAATAATCTCTGCAGAGACACCAAACCAATGAAAATTCCAGGTACACTGGGGTCTTCTCAGAGTTGAGGTGGGCAACCTCCTCTCAACTCCACATACTTCTGGGAAACCCGACAACCATATCTACATCTCACAGCCATAATTCATAATGTTTCACTGGCAAACTTTACAGATCCTCCAAATTCCACAATACTGACATCTCAGAAGCAGCACACCAAATTAGATTGTAAACAAAGAAGCCAACTAAATTTAAAAAAAAAATCATTTAATTTCATTTCATTTCATCATCCTGTTATTCGTCGATTGCCTCGAGCAGGCCCCAGTAACGTCTCTTTCATCCTAGCCCTGAGATTATATTCAAGGCTTTTTAGGAGAACGAAACCCATCATTGTTACTGGTATTTGGCGTATTTGGTACGCCACGGGGAGTTTGCCAGACTCTGCCCTGTGAGCAGGCTACATTCGATAGCCTGCAAGTTTGTCCAAAGTAAGAATGAGATAATAAGATGTCATAAAAAAGATGTCCTGATAAGATGTCGCGCGGCTGCATTTGCAGCCGCGCGGTTCCGGGAGCTGGATTTTATAGTCTCTGAGTCTTGGTCGTTGATGGGATTACATGGCGCCAGGGGGCCAGGTGGTGGGTGTGACCCCCGCCTACTGGAATTTGGAGGATCTGGGTGGAGGATGTTCAACTCCAATCCGAGTAGGCTTGAAGATCTCGGCCCCAGAACCCGCGTGGATTTGTCCCTCTGCCAGTACCTTCATGTGTGCGGAGAGTGGTCTCAGCATGGTGGTGGCTGGTCCTGGAGGTCTTCGGCTGCCAGAGCCCTGGTCGGGGCGGGGAGGAAAGCTCAACCCGCTCCCCTCCAAGGGGCCCCAGTGAGGAACAGCCAGGCGCAGGGGCAGGAGAAAAAATCAATAACAATCAATAACACAGAAGGCTTGACTAGCAGCAAACAGTTTAGGAAACCCTCAGACAAGGACCCTAGGTGAGATATAATAATTTTCACAAATTTTCTTTCATTGAAGCATTCTTTTATAACCTTATAATCATTTAGCTATAACAAGCAAAATAAAATCAATCATTTTGTGCTTGCTAAAGGGTTTAAGCTGTGGGTCGGTTGGAAAAATGGGGGCAAATGACATAGGGAAGGTCACTCTGGTGGTGGATTGGTGTTAAACATTGAATGTATGTAACAACTGTATTATGAACAACAATACTTAAATGAACACATGACTTATACCTGTAGTACTATGTGTAATTTGTTAGTGACTTGAGTGTTTACATTTATGATTAATCAACTATCTTTGGGTCCTATAGACATAAAATTTCCTTGTTATAAAAAATTTTCTGCCACCTAGTATGTTTCCATATGTGAAATGGTTTCCTTTCAGCAGGATCCGTCATCTCATATTGCTGAAAATGGATTGGGAATATTAAATCTGTCGGTTAGAGCTGTCATCAGAGGAAATGGGTGTGAGAGTATCAACTGATTTCATGTAAAGGAGTTTTGTTAAAATAAACTTATACAGCACCACAGCTCCTGACCTACTTTTTGCTGCTCCACCATTACAGATGAGGCTTGCCTCTTTTGTTTGACATCCTTGGCCTGACATGGGACAGGAAGCAGAGCCCCTTCCTACTGGCTAAGTTCCAGCAGCCTCCATACCCTACCTGTGCCACATAAACCCACACCACAGTTTCTGAAGCATATAGACAGGTAAGTGGCCACAAGACAGATCTACTCAACAAATTAAATGTTGCTTACAAGTTACTCATAATTTGGTGAAGATAGGGAAGAAAGGGAGAAACCCTGGCCTAATTCCTCAGCATCTTCCAGGATCTAACAAAAAAAAAAACTTACTCCTAACATAACAAGAGCACTAGAAAACTGATAGAGAAAGCAAGTAGAAGCCCACCAAGCTTGATGAATGAAAAGAGTATCTCTGAAGACAAACAACACAAGCAAATCCTTAGACACCATGATGAAGCCGTTCAACAAGTTCAGATAAACAATTGCACAGGTAGTGAGCAAAGAACAGGGAAGTATAAGAGCCAAAATGCCCAAAAAATGACAAAAATGAAAAACATGGTAGGTGATGCAAAAAAGTCAAAGAGAATAACAGTAGCTGAACAAAATATCAAGGAGCTCCAAGATGAGGAGGAAATCACTTTAGGAAACAGCAGAAGTCAGAAAATAGTCTGAAAAGAAATGAACAACATGCCAGAGAATGATGGAATGAGTTCAAGAAGAACAATGTAAGAATCATTAGAGATGCTGAAGCAAAGGAAGGCAAGTGAAATGAAAAAAAAAAACAATAGTTAAATATATCAATTTCCTTAAGTGGAGAATTACAGGCATCAAGATCCAGGAGGCTGAAA